CAGGCTGACTCGAACCGCTGTTGCTCAGAGCTCAAACTCTTGAGTGAGCTCTTAACCAGCTGAGCCACTCAGCCGGCCCGATAGCCTACTTTTTAATTACACGTCTGGCATATCTTAAGGGCTGGGAAAGTAACAGTATAAAAGACAGGTCCCTGATCTGATGGAGGTTTATATCTGTTGAGCTGTCAGTTAGAAAAGTGTATAAAGGACCATGGAACAGAGGAGGGGTGGGGTCAGGGAAGATTTCCCTGAGGAAGTGTTATCTGAGAAGCAAAGAATTAGCCCCTTGACGTTGGCAGGGGTGAGTGTTCCAAGCAGAGTAGAGTGATGGTACCCATGAGTGTGTGGAGATGACAGAGAACGCACCTCACTAAAGAACTGGAAGAAGTTCTGGGTCGGGCGCGGTAACAAAAGGTAAGGCAGAGTGGTGGCTACACACCAGATACCAGCACAATTGGAAACCATAAAAGGTTTTAAGAATACATACATGATCAGACATTTGGTCTTGAAACATAAAATAGGGCCATGATGTCCATAATTGAAGGTGTTTAAGGCTTACCTCAATCTTAGTAAAAGGCAAAGTCATCAGCTCAAGGTGAAGAGAGTCCAAGCACTTGAGGGAAATGATCAAGGCTGGAAGTACGGTTGACCCTTGAATGGGTTTGAACTGCCCTCGTCCACTTACATGTTGATTTTTTTCAATAAATACAGTCAGCTCTTCGCATCCACAGATTCAACCTTAGACCAAAAGCCGTATTTTCGCATTACCAACCACAGATTCCCAACCATGGACTGAAAATACTGTTTTCAATCCGCTGTTAGTTGAATCTGCAGATACAAAGGGCTGACTGTAGTTAAGTTTTGGGGGAGTCAAAAGTTATAGCTGATTTTCCAACTCGGCAGGGATCAGCATCCCTAACCCCCACGTTGTTCAAGAGTCAACTGTAGTTGATGAAAGAATGGGAGGTGAAATAGTTGAGAGCCGCACACCCCAAAAAATTGATACTAAAACGTGGAATTTGCCACATCAATCTACACACTTGTGTTCTATTATCCAACAGAACTTAGCCTCCTGGATATTCCTTGCACTTATATTTATTGCGCCTATTTCGAGCCAGTCACAACATCCAGGAAGACATTCTATAGGAACCAGGTTCAGGAATATGAAAAAGTAAATACAGTGATAGGATAAAAATGCAAAGACATTGAACGTGATGAGTGTCCAAGCACAGACTTTAGGATGAGCAGGAAAGGGGTAAATCCAGGAGAAGGCAGATACATCAGGAGAAAAATGTAAGAACCAAGAAAATAGAGGTCTCTGAAGCTAAAATCAGAGAGAAATGAGGACACTGCTGAAAAGAACCAAGCAGTGTGTTGAGGGCAGAAAAGTTAAGAGGTTGTGTTTATTGAGTTTTAAAATGGAAAGTTTTGAAATGGAAGGTAAAAAGCAATATAGTGTTTAATACAAATCACTGAACTGAGTTAAAAGAATTTGAGGTGGGATACAGGATCCTGGGCAACTTACATTACTTAGAAGTTTTCGTAGAGAAGTTAAACCAGTTGCCCAGATTCTCAGTAAGGCTTCAAGATCACATAGCAAGGTGGCCAAAAGTTGTAAATTCACTTGGCATGGTACCTCCTGTCGACAAAAAAACATCCAACCTAAGAGAAATCTTAAAGAGTTTATTTGAGCGAAACTGACCATTGCCAGGAAGCAAAATCTCAACAGATTGAGAAGATGTTCGGGAAAACGGCAGTTTTGCAACTTATTTTATACATTAGAATCAAAGGAGAAGGGTTACATAAAATCCATTGGGGGTGGGAGAAAGCAAAGCGGGAAATCTCTGAGATAGGATAAAAAGTAAATTGGAGAGGGGGCCAGCCAAGTGGCTCAGTTTGTTAAGAGCTTGCTCAAGAGTTTGAGCTCTGAGCAACAGCGGCTCGATGCCTGAGCTGAGCTGATGGCTCACCTAAAAAAAAAAAAAAAAAAAAAATCTAAATTGGAGAGACTGATACTTCTTTTACACTGGTGGGTACAGGATAGTTAATAGCACTTTACAGTACATAGAGTTGGTAATCAGGGGACAAGAACAACAATGAGGGATTCTGTAGTTTCCTGCTCTGGTGTGGTGGACTGTGCCCTATAGGGTACAGAAAAAGGGATTGCTCTGACATTCCAAGGGTATGTTAATTTAGATGTAAAAAGACAATAGACAAGCTCACTTAAGGTAAAGATTGACCTTTGTCAAGGAAGCTACAGGCCGATGATGTGACTACCAGCCACTACCCACTTTTAGTTATGAATTTCCTATGTGGTTACTTTCCACCTCTGAGATTGTAAGGCCCACCATGCAGGCCTCCCCTGAGTTTGTCAGGTTTAATATGTGGCCCCTTTCATCCACGCTCCCTACTTTGGGATGCCCGCATGACACCCTAGGAGAAATGTTTAGCTGGAGACCTTTCCAAATTAAGAAGTTGGGTAGAAAATGGCCACAAATCTTATATTGCATTCTGGCAAAAATTCAGAAGCAATTTTAACTGATTGGAATCTAAAGTACATCCAGAGTTCCCTTATTTAGCCCCTTGATTTAAAATTTTAATTTACAATGGCTATCTAAAAGAACATTAAAGAACCAAAGACTCAGGAGTAAGTGTACAGTTTTGATTCTAGACCCAAAATATAACTTTTAATGACAAAATCAATCATTTTTACCATTTGAAAATCCTTGTGTAAACTATGTACATTAAAACTCAGTAAAATAGGGCCAGCAGAGTGGCTCAGTTGGTTAAGAGCTCGCTCAAGAGTTTGAGCTCTGAGCAACAGGGTCCCCGGTTTGATTCACGCCCCG